CCCCCCCCCCCCCCCCCCCCCCAGATATCACTTCCCTCGATAGCTCTTGGAAATGTTTATAGGTCGACAAACTTATTGAGTCTGCTCACGAATCAAGCACAAAATGACCTGCATCTCATCAAACAATTAAAGGCAGTTGCATGGTCAAAAGTCAGACAAGTTTGCGGACATTATGTTGGTTCATGTAAATTGCCATTCATTCAGGTCGCGATTGTTGTCGTTACAAACACATAGACATTAAACTTCTTTCTTCGTCTCATACGCAGCCGTTTTTGTTTCGATTTTCACGTAAGGGCTGCATAGGAGACTACTTCCTCCATAGCACTCGTCCTGTTCCCTTCAAATATGGTTACTCCTTCACCAAACAAAAACGAACCCACTACATTGGTATGGAATTGAAAAAAATTAAACAAGTGTAAAATATGAAGAGGTTACCAAGGTAACAGATCCCAGTTCAACTTGAGTTACCACGTGATAACCAACACAGGCGTAAAGCACCAGGGACGGATAACTGTGCAGGGCGTGAGATCAATGGGTCTGTCACGTGTTCGCGTTAAGTCATGGTTGCTCAAAGTAGTTAAATGAGTGTCGTGTTACTTATAGTTTGTAATTCGTCACCTGATCGGTTTAATTCATTCGTAATTTGACCTGGAGTCAAATTACGTCGATCGCCTCCGAGGAAATAATATGAAGAAATTAAAGTGGTTGAAAAATTGCTGGGTAATTTTCTGTGGAAATTGCAAGTGAACAACTTCTTTTCACTTGGAACATTGTTTTCGGTGGTTTAAATAGGGTCAAAACTAAATCGGAATTTTTGAATCGTATTCTCAAATTTCATGCCGAAAGTTGAAAAGGGAAGTTAAAGAAACGGCCACCTTAACAAACCAAGAGGAATTTTTTTATATTTTTTTCTTTCGCGCCAGTTTTTTAGTAAAAGGTGGATAGCGCTATTTTTTAGATAAATTACCATTCACTGGATAGCTAGCGCAATTGGTTTCTCTATCCTTATCCACTGGAGAGGTATTTATCTGGTTGATAGCAATATCCATCTTGAACAACCGGGATTTTCATAAATGGATACAGTATAGGATGGTTTATAAATGGAAAACTTTCCGTTAACTGCATAGTTTATGAAACAAATCCACCGATGTTTTGGGCGGGGAGTACAACTTACGCTGTAAATAACTGTTTTTCGAGTTTTATCTACTGCTTTGTTGGTTGGATTAAATATACTCTGCTATTGTGTATTCAAGATTTGCGTTTGTTGTACACACCATTGGTACAAACATTCAAGTCATCCCTCGGCCTTTGGTTTTTCGAAAAATTGATGTCACGTGTTTTAAAAGGTCATGATTTTTCTCTGTAAGACCCAATTTCGGGAAACACTAGAGGCTTACGAGTCTCCTAATGCTCCTCGTACTATTAAAACTACACTTTTTAAATCATGTTACACAGGGGTGTTACTAAACAGAGTAACGCAGTAACGAGTAACGAGTAACGGAGTAACGAGAAAACGAGTAACGGGATAAAAATTCAAGAGGTTAAAAAAATAAATAAATAACTCCTAATGAAAGAAAAAAACATAAAAAATGGTTGTAATATCCTACTAAAGACCTTTGCTAATCTCGAAAAATATGCATATTCCAAAAAGGGCTTGAAACAACGAAGTCAACCTCCCCCCCAAGCCCCTCCCTCCAGCAAAGTCGAAGGTATTTTCGCGCCGAAAAAGTTACTTGACTCGCGCTGTTATTTGTAATTTAAAAGGTTATTTCCGACAGCCCGGAAACAGGAAGACTATCTTAAAAGTGCCGAGGTTCTGAACAATTGTCACAAATCATAGAATATTTGCAACTGAACAAAACTGCATATACTGGTTTTAAGCCACTGTCCATGAGTAGTACCAACATCGACATCTGCATCAATAACATTGATTTCCGTATGGTTAGTTTAAGTGTATCCCGCTGTATAAATTGTGCTTATTATTAAAGATCATGAGGAAAAGAAACAGAAAGTTTGTTTTGTCACGCATTCTTTTTTAGACAATATATGGCATTACCCTACCCCAAGTTTCAAGGTTTCAGTGTGAACGATTGTGATAACTAATGTATGGATTTAAATTAAATTTTGTGAGAAGATTAAGGAAAGTACTTCTTATGCCAAATGCAGGCCCCTCTTCGTAGTCACAGGATGGTAAAACCCCTCTTCAAGTGCCACTTAAGCTCCTAATTTCTAAATAGGTCCTAACATAAGATTAGTTCATGTAATTGCATGTTATGACAGGGCGTGAAATTGCAACTAATACAGGCGCCAATGTCTGTGACGATCATGCAAAATTGATGACACATATTTCACTAGGAAACTCTGTCGCTGGCGAACGCCATCTTGGTTTTCCAAGTAGATACGTAGGGGTCCTCTTTGCTTACTTTGATTACCTGCTAGAATCATTTGGGTTCAAAACTTGCAAATTTGGAGGATCTCACGGCTCTTAAATAACATGTAGTAAACCAGTCGTTTTCTCCTTGTTTGTTCTGTTTGTTCTTGTTTTGTTTCGTTTCTATTTTTTTTCTGGGGACTAAGCACTTATTCTACTTGTGGAATTGGCTACCTCTTTGAAATATTAAAGTAGCCAAGTGGATCCTACCAAAAAGGAGTTAATTTCATGCCCTGATAGTAACTATGATTCAGTTATTCTGAATTGATTGATGTTAAACGCAACTTCGAACAAACCAATCCATTTGAATGTTTCTTTACTTCAGCTTTACTTTAATCGACAATCGATCTAAAAACTAGTCTCGCTTTGCATTTCTATTTTGCCGCCTTAATTCAAATTTCAGAGTCTTTACATCGGTAGGTTAGTTGTAAACATGATTTATAATTCCTTTTAAAACGGTGGAAACATTCACTTTACTTAACTTTTGGAAGGTAGTATTAGTAAGTCGAATCCCAAATTTTCGAGGAGTTACGAGACATTTAAAGTTGAGCAGGAAAGGTTATAACCCCGGCAGTAATAAGCGAGCAAACCGTTTCTAAGCCTTGGCAATTCAATCGAGTACTTGGTTACTTGATAACCATAATAAGGACCCAACAAGGTTCCATTATTTTGATTTACCTGACAGAGCTATTTCTAATAAGAAATGAAATAAGTTTGGCAGTAAGAAGAAAATCTGTAGCTTACTTCCTCTGATGGTTGTTCCTCGGGGATTAGGTGACTTTTCGGCGTGAAAATACCTTCGACTTTGCTGGAGGGAGGGGTGGGGGAGATTGACGTCGTTTTTGGAATACACATATTTTTCGAGATTGGTAAAGGTCATAATTACGAAATTACAACCATTTTTACGTTTTTTCTTTCATTAGGAGTTATTTTTTAAAATTTTTTTTAACCTCTTGAATTTTTATCCCGTTACTCGTTTTCTCGTTATTCCGTTACTCGTTACTCGTTACTGCGTTACTCTGTTTAGTAACACCCGTTACACAGTCAAAGAAATACCTGAATGTTGCTTTAACTTAGCCACACACACACACACACACACACAAAATTCTACACCTTAGTGACAACTTTATTACTCCCT